TAAGTACGTCTCTCTCTCTCTCTCTCTCTCTCTCTCTCTCTCTCTCTCTCTCTCTCTTGGTGGGTTTGGTTTCTAAGCATATATATGCTCTCTCTCTCTCTCTTGATGGGTTTGTTTTTATAGGCATATTTATGCTTGGGTCTCCATGTGTTTGCTTTCAAGAGCATATTTATCTCTGTCTCTGATCTTTGTGGGTTTTTCCTGGCTTGATTTCACTTGGGTTTTTTTGTTTTTGCATAGAGAGAAGATTTGTTCTACCAAAGGATGAGAGGATAAATACTTCTCCCCCAGTTACAGTAAGAAGGGTAGAAGAGCAGGGTTTCGACACCATTGCGGCCATTGTAACTTCATTGGGTGGTGAACCGAGCGCTGTAGGCATTGTTCGCCTCTCTGGTTCTTCAGCTGTTGCCATTGCTGGCCGTGTGTTCACGCCAGCGAGGAAGAAGAAGAATAGGTCTAAGGGTCCATTTGTTTGGGAACCCAAAAGTCATTTTGTGGAATATGGGGTGGTTTTGGACAGGGAGGGAAACATTGTTGATGAGGTATGTGAATTCATTTTCTTTCTTCCTTTCTTTCTTTTGATAACTGAGGTCTATAAATATTTCAAGACTAAATTCTTTTTATTAGGTGAAAATATTCTTGTATTTAGCTTTTCTGGTCTGATGTCTAGGTAATTGGTTTTTAGTTTGTAGCTTGTTGAATTCATTTCCATGTCTTCTTCTCAATGAATTCTCCAATTTGTGAAGTCTTATAGTCTAAATCAGGGATTTTTATCTCTTTGTTGCATTTCTTGAGTTATTTATACATAAAAAAAATTCACTCCTTGAAATTGACTTGTTATAGACTTTCATAACTTTTTTTTTATACATCTTTGTATCATTGTTTCATGAATCATAGTGGGTTTAATATGTTAAAAATGCCTCATTGATATCTGTCCTATGATTGGTTTATACTTGACAAGAAAAGGAAAAGAAAAAGAATTTCTTGTTGACCATTATGGCAGATAACAGTTATTGGAGTTCCCAATTGTTTATCACTAGTTACAGTTTATGTCAGTTTATCCAGTATGCAATATACTCAATTTACCATGTCACCATTATATATTGGCATGAATATCAGAACTAAAATTTCTTTTTAGAAAACGAACTTAGGTTAAGGAGTTGACTGTGCAAACTCATTTGGATGCTGTACATACACCTCTTCATCCCAAAGATTGCTTTTTTTTCTTGAATTATTTTATTAATTTATTTTTTGTAACTTTCATCAGCTCTATAAAATTTACAGTATCACGCAAGCACAGTCACACTTGTAACAATATCAATTTTAGCCACAAAAGCCAATGCCTTGCCATTGTCCACACCACAGTTATACTTGTGAGTACCAAACCCTTATACTTATGACTACAGAACCCTTCTGCGACTCCATATTTATAACTGTCAAACTATACTCTTGCTTACAGGTGTTCTTTATATAGGGAAATTACTTGGTCATGAATGTGGTGTTCCTATGGAGCTGAAATCGACAAAAATAAGTTTGCTTGTAATTATTCTATTGTGCTAAAGACTCAAGCTAAACATGAGCTGGGTTATTTTCTGGTCTAAATTCACTGGACAATTTTTGGAGGAAGAATATGGATCTGGTAATGCGAGTGCAAGCATTGGGGCCCCTCTGTTTTGTTTACCCTGGATATGGAGATTTGGAGGGTAATAAACTTCATTTCATGTCATGGATTTTGAACTCAACGATGCTTAATACCGATTCATTTCTTTTTGGAATTTAGTGAACAACCATTTTTTATTCTTAATTTCTGAAATAAATAAAATAATTAAAACTAAGCACATGTCGTGATGGATATATTGTCTTCCTTATGCCTTTAGATTTTGCATGGGATAGGCCTTAACAAGAAAAGGTTTAAGGATTTTGAGCAAACACTCCATGGGGAGGGAGGGAGAAGGGGGAGAGATCGATTAATTGCTTATTAGTTTGAGAGGACCTAAGTTCTTCCAGCTCCAATTGTTGACCTTCTTGACTGAGTTTTTTGGACCGTCCTGAGAGAGACGAAATCATAAGAAAACTAGAGCCGTGGAAGGATTAATTACTGTAATTTTGGGTTCCTGGTGAGTGTCATGGCAAATTTAGCCAGAAAAGCATCACATATCACCCCTCTTCATCTTAATAAGTGATATCTTTCCGAGTTATCTCGGTGGCTACAGAACCATTGCAAACGATCGTAATGAGCATATGATAGAAATATATTTAGTACATAATCCTTATCCTCTTGCATATGTCATCTGTCTTTCTTCTCTCTGTGACCTAGTGAGTAGTTTGTGTAAATCAGGACCGAGTTCCTTTTATCATATTTCTTTGATTGTTGCATGTATTTCCAAATATTTTTCTACAAATAATTTTCTTTGTGTATATATTTGTATATAATGTCAGTCAGTGAGGGGGATAAAGTGATAGAATGATTTGTTTAGGTTTTAGCTGTACCGATGTTGGCACCTAGATCTTATACGAGAGAAGATGTCGTGGAGCTCCAGTGCCATGGTAGCAATTTATGCATACAGAGAATACTGAAAACCTGTTTAGAGGCGGGTGCAAGGCTTGCAGAACCTGGTCAGCTTCCTTTTTATGCTCTCTCTCTCTCTCTCTCTTTGATTTTCTCTCATTTCTACACTATGGTTTAACATCAGTGTTCGATTCTTTTCTATTATGAGGCACCAGAACACTTTTTATGGGGACGCTTGTTTTGACTTAAATGTCACAAAATTCCCATGAATTATACAAGCCAAGCACCCTCATATGGAATTTCTCTTGGGTTTTCTTTTGTTAGGCGAGTTCACTCTACGGGCCTTTTTGAATGGACGGCTGGACCTCGCTCAAGCAGAAAATATAGCGAAACTAATATCGGCTAAATCTGTAGCTGCAGCTGATAGTGCTTTGGCTGGAATTCAGGCACGTCCTTGTTTGTCACTCCAGCTTCTGTGATTGTTTTCTTGTGAGAGGCTCTTTTAGTTGGACTTGCTTATGATCCTAGACTTTTATATTGATTTGGACTTGTGTATGTTTTCCGGTAATTTATAATGGGCTCTTGGACTAAATTGGACTTTTTTTTTTTGAGAGGAAGGCGTCATGTGTATCAGGGTAACTTGAATTTGGCTTCTCTGTCGGGGACTTAATTTTTCAAGAACAACTTGAATTGGCTCTATCTAAATTGAGTTTTTCTCTTTTCTGGTGATAGGGAGGCTTCTCTGCTTTAGTAAAATCTCTTAGAGCACAGTGCATCGAGCTGCTTGCAGAAATTGAAGCCCGACTTGACTTTGATGATGAACTGCCACCATTGGACACCAAACATTTGATGGACAAAATCAATCAGATTTGCCAAAATGTAAATCAGGCGCTGGAAACTGCAAATCGCCATGTTCTATTAGAATCTGGATTACAGGTGTCATAGGCAATGGAGTTTTATGATTTATTTTATGGGATTCATGTTAGTTCATATAATCAATATTGCATCCTTACTGCAGTTTCAAAAAAAAATAATTTTGCATCCTTACTTTAGATAAATGGGGCATTTCTTTGTCATAAAAGAAGAATGGTGTACATCTTTGTTTCTCTCTCTTGTAACTTCCCTATACACTACAGCTATAGCCATCAGACTCTCTCTCTCTATCACCATTTATTATCTATTTGTCTGTCACTTTGTCACTATATATATTAACCTTTGGTACAAGGAGGTCGCAATTAATCTTGACCGTTAGATGTGAAATTGGGTGGCTGCATTTGTTCTATTGACTAGGCTCAAAGTTCAAAATTATTTTTCGAACTTTGTAATACACCCAAGCTGTTAGATTTCACATTTGATAGTTATAGGTACTTGTGACCTCCTTATACCAAATATGTGTGTGTGGATATATATAGTCAAACTCCACCCCTTTCTCCGAATTTGTTTAATTTTTACATGGTCCTAAAAACACTAGACGAACAACTTACAAAAATAAAATAAAATTTGGTGCACATCTAACCGCAGATCTAACATCCACTAGAATCGATGGCTGCTATTAACTCAAAAATGTCCTTCTCGTGATGACAAAAAGATCTTTTATCTTTGAGTGCAGATATCAGCAATACCCATTCCAATGACAAATATTTCCTTACTTATTTTATGGCAATAGAATAAGGAAATGGGGCAACTACGGTAGTTTAGATGATTCAGCCCTTTCTAAATGTAACACATAGAGTTCTATGTGGTGTTAACAATAGAAAAAATCCATATATATATATATATATATATATATATATATATATATTGTGTACGTATATGTATATAGTATATATATACAC